GGCCCCTGCGCCACTCGTGGAACAATTGGCGACAGTCCGATGGTGGCCCGTAGACCTTGCGAGGACTCGGAGTGCCGACTGCAGCGTAGCGCGCGCTGACTTGGGAGCCGTGATGAGCGTGGCGAGAGCGTCATCGTCCAATGTGGCCGGCAGTGCATGCAGCGCCTCGTTGTCCGTCCACCCAGACATCTCCTGATGAGCCAGGAAGCGACGTTCGAAGGCCCCCCAGTCGCCTCCGTCGGATACAAATTCCTTCAACACTGGTAGGCGTTGTTGAAATGATGGCTCCGTCTTCGACAGGCGCTGCGCGCAGTTCCCGGCATTTTCGTCGGCACTGGAGGGGATGGGGATTCCCATCGGCGATCGCTCAGGTAATGACGTTGCGCCCGCTGATTGGTTCTGGCAGTGAGCGTCCATCGGCGATGACGTCACAACCGGTGATTGGCCCACGGTGTCCACGTGGTGCTGTGACCCTCCAATCGTCGTGGTGGACACCGTCATGGCGGCAATTCCAAAATCCGGCGGCTGTGTGTTGGCGGGAATGGCCGTTGACCGGCGTTCTTCGCCCTGCCGCATTGGCGCCCGCAGCCCCGCGCGGTTAATCTCCTCCAGTGTGGAAGCCGCGGCGTACAGCAGCTCAGCCAGACGGGAGTGAGCCGCCCGCAACCCGTCCCCCATCGGCGGCCACTCCTCCAGCTGCGGCGGCTGTTGGGGCGTCTGTGGCATCCCGGGATCGTCGGCCAAGTCCTCTGGCGCTATCCCAGCCGAGTCGTCCTCCTCCTCAGGTTCCTGCGATCGGTTCGTCCGCCTTGTGTCCATCTTAAGACCACTTCTGACACCAGTTGTAGTGGGTTCCCAGGACACTGAGACGGTAGAGTAGAGGCAGCACTATTTATTGAACAAGGGGTCACACTGGAAGGGGTAGCGGCCCCTTCACCAGTATACACTCAGGGATACCCCTAGGCTATCTAGCCTAGGCCCTAGGCTCCCGATTCCTCCAGCTGTAGGCGCTAGAGGAGGCTATCTGATCTGACACAGATCTCGGGCACCCCACCAACCAGACCGACCCTTAAAAGGACTTCGGCTCTGGGGCTCTGGGGCCGCACCACTGGCTTGCCGTGCCGGCACTGAAAATGGCAGCGGTCACAGGAGTCCCAGGGTCTATCCTAGCCGGCCTTCCTTCTTCACTGGCTCTTCATTCTTGGCCCCAACACACTGCCCCGAGCTCTCTGCCTCCCCGCCCTTTATACCCATACCCCACTGAGGGTGGGGCCATAGCGGACGTGGTTGTAGCCACCAAGGTGTGGTTGTGCCTTAAGTTCCCACACTCTGTGTTTCTTTCCCATAACACCCCTACATTATTATCATTCATGCTTCTATTTATTTCATTTTTTTTGTGTCGTGCCTTCTAACTTATAAAAACACGAGCTGTACTACCCGGCTTCGCCCGGGACTTGGATTCACCACGGGCGGCCGCCTTTGTCTCCACAGTGGCGATGTTCACACACAACACACCAGTTGCTCATTTGAGGTTGAGTCGACCTAGGGGAGGCTCAGGACCGGTTCAAATAATCGTTACCAGCGGTGGCCGTGAGCGGGAATCGAACTCGGGTCACCGGGTTCGTAGCGCGACGCGCTAACCACTACACTACAATGCGTTACGCTTCCACACACAGACAAACACAGACAGACACATACACAGACACACACACATGCACAGACAGACACACACACAGACACATACACAGCGCGCTAACCACTACACTACAATGCGTTAAGCTTCCACATGCGAGGGTCACATGACAGATTTGACGTGACAGCTCACTTGCCGTGCAAAAAATATATGCATTGTTAAGCTCCCCCCCTCCCAAAAAAGTGTATTTGTATAATTTTTGCATGGTGTACAGTCTGGAAAGTAGCCACATGGCAAATAACAAGTTTGTTGCATGTCGGGAAGTACGCTAAACATTTTGAACAGACACACATATTCACAACTTTGCCTTTTATATATATGGAAATGAACAAAACAAGTTCACTAAACAATTGAATACAAGTCCATATACCGATGATAGTTAATAAAGGCAGACCGGAATCATAATATATGAAATAAAGAGGTTGATGAGAGCGGAACGTAGTATTTAAAAAAATATATGAATAATGGCCTACAACATGCAAATGAGGAAGGTGTTTTTTTTTAAAATCAGGGTGTATTATTAGCGATGACACGTGGATCCGAAACACAGACATTGACAAAGTTAAACATGTGTACGCTGAGAGACAGGAAGACGAACACATGGGCTGTTGAGAAAAGCCATTGGGCTTGGGCAGGACGTGCCGCTACAAGAGACGATGGCCATGGAGCAGCAGCGAACGGATGGATCAACGTCAAAGGTTGTCTCCTGGGGAGATAGTTGCAATGGAGTCAGCTTGTGTGCAGCAGCTCGATGGATCGTTGCATCGCAGGAGTGTGAGAGATGGAGACGGCGATGCCTTCGTCCAGCGTTGGATAGATTATGTCGGATTATGATAATGGCCTTTCATCACAATGACATCCGTGTTGTTTAGTGTGAACGATTTAATTGCAGTGAGTCACGCAGTGCTGTCCACTCTGTTACATTTTGACCACTGTGGAGTGTCGAGTACGGGTGACCTGTTGTAAATGTGGTTCAATGAACCATATTGAGTGTGTTAATTCATGCAAATTAGTTGTAAATCCATTAATACTCCTTTCAGTTGAGTCAAGAGTTGTGTGCATGTGCATTTGTCTTTGTGTAAACATTTCATGAGGCTGGCCTGGCTGGTTTTCAATGAAACAGTGATACCAGGCATGCAATGTGGTTCTGCGCCTCGGCTCGCTAAATGCCAGCTCTGAGAATGAAAATTATTGGTTTAACTTTCAGGTAATGAACATGACTCCTGGTGTCAGAGTAGGTGGAAAAGCACTGCCGTCTACTGTGAAGCTGATGCCACTTGAAGGGCTGCAGTGCTTTGCTGTGAGATCTGAAGGGATTCGTGGTCTCATCACATGATGCTGAACGTACGAGGGATAATATGGGGGAATAGATCAAATTAAAGTTGTACTCCATTTCACATTTGGCTGCAGCTGTCAGAAGCGCGTGGTGGTAACGACGTGATGGAGCGATAAGATAATTGTTTCACAGTATGCCCTGCAACCACTCTCATCCGCTTGCCTCTTGCTAATTTTCCAAGCTGTCTAAATACTTTCATTTGATTATAACGTCCAAACACGTTCATGTTATATACACCCAAATATGTATTATCATATGTTTGATTGCATTAATGTTTTAATATACTATATTGTACTGAATTTCGTGCAGTACTGCATTTTCAATTCCAATTTGTCCTCATTCAGAATTAATCTTGTTATTGTAATTTTCCACGGCTCTGTTTGTCTGCTTGAGTTTCCTATCAAGGTTGAGTTACCTCTTGAAGCTGTATTAAACTAAATTGTATATTCATGATGGTTCATTGTGTCGCACAATTTCAAATGACACACTGACAATGGAAAGTGAGTGATTATGCATATAATGTTCTGTACTTCTATGCTAATGTGTGGAATTTTGGGGGGAACTGTTCTACTTTATGATTGTATATATTGAATACATTAGCATTATTAGGACATACAATATATATTAGGGAATCTTGGTTTTCTTACATTTGAATACAACATTGAAATGGTCCAAAACACATGTATTACAATGGCAATTGTTATGTTATTCGGTGCTTTTGTATGTATTGACCTGATTCGGCCCGTGACATAAATCTGGCATTGCCACTAAGCTAGTAAAAGACAAATCCAAGCTTCAAATCAAGATTAAATCCAATCTACAAAGAAAATTGTGACTGAGTGACTGATGTATACTTCTAGCAATGCTCTGAAAGGGCTAGAACATGGAAGTTTGACGCAAATATAGTGGAGTCTATGCTTATAACGTGAGCAATCTGAATAATAAATGCTTATTGAGGCAGAGTCAGCCTAAACTTCCATGTTGTTGTAACACTCACACATGTACAATCCCCATGATCAGTGAACCGAGTAATGAGCTTCCTTGTGGCATGTAACGCGACAGAGACCGCCAAACTCTACCAATTTCTAGTAACAGATATGACATACATACCTTGCAAAGTATAATATTCTAAATATTACTGTCATTATTAAGTAACCTGATATATCAACATGTGTCTGTTGCGGTTACGAAGATATAAATACAAAGGTGATGCAAGTAGGTGAACGTGTGTTCAATCACTGACCCTTTCAAATATGTATACGACACGGCAGAGAGGGCTTTGTTCCAATAGAAAGGGTTGTGGTTGGAGGCTTTTGAATGTTCGATGCGCGATAATCCTCTGCATTGTATTTGCACGCACGTCCCGGGGACTTATAATTCTCGTAAATATAAATCCACACACAAGTCGCGTGCGTGCATCTTGGGTAATCCTTGAAGGGCATGCGATCCGTGTGATATGTTAGAGATCTAATCCATATTGGGGTTTTTCAATTTTCAGTTAATGGAATGCACTTCCATAAAAAAAAGAGCCGACACACATAAGATCGAGAAATAACACGCAATTATATCCACGTCTGTCGCTCTCTAGAGCGCAAGTGGTTATCGCTCGTAAAAGACTGTAGAAGTAAACATTATTTTTGAGCAACATTCATTCGACTCTTTGCCAACAGATAGACCTTTGTTGGGCACAAATCCCAAGCTCATTCTCTTCCACACAGTGGTGATAACAGTGCGCTGTGATGTCCTTCATGAGAACCCCGACAATGTCAATTATGATTACCAGCTCAGGAAGAGCAAAGGAGAAGTACTTGGGCCACAAGAGTGGCCTGACTAATGCTCGACATGGGGACTAACTTGCCACGGCCACGCGTGCGCCTCCCTCTCGGGCTCGCTCACTCGCTCGCGTGGCAATGTGGCGAATGAAGAAGAGGGCCATTTGCAAGCGATCGAAATGTCACCCTTCTCTCTCAGTCCACAGGGGTTGCCAATCGCTCGTCAATCCATTTAGCAAGGAGGTGGAATTGTACTCGGACTTCCAGCGGCAGATCCCAGGTACAGTACTGTGTGTGTATTCATGTTGTCAATATTAATGCTTAATGCACTTTGTTTGAGTATTGACCCCAATGAATTGTCACGATTCACCGCCACGTGTTTTTTTGTCAACAATTCGCTCTTTGTGTGTCATTTGTAAACTCATATTTATACAGTGAATATTTCCGTCTCGTTTTTACAAGTAGTTTTTTTTTTTTGCGACGTGAGCCTAAATGTCATGGTAGCATTTTGTTTTGCATTCATTGAATAATTTCTATTCCTGTACTCCAATGATGATTATCACATGTGGAGGAATATAAACATTTTACAGTATGATGTTAAGCATTGATATTTAGTAGAATTTGAGGAATTCCAAAAATTAATACCACAATTCCATAGATTATGAAAAAAACATCAATAATGAATAATCTGTGAATTTATGTATTTTAGCATCCATTAGCCCAACAATTGCTGACTCGTGCCACTACTGGTGGAAGAGTCCATAAGAGGGAGCTTTAGAGAGCCACTCAATAGGGTAACAGTATTCTGGAATAAATAAGAACAGGTTTTACCTTCGCTGGCAATCAAACAGGTCTTAAGATGTTCTTGGTTCTTTCGGTAAAGTCACGTAGAAGGGAAATAATGAAATAATAAAAATTAAACATACTAAAATAAAATTCTCACGACGTTTCTTAAGATGTTCATCATTTTGATACTGGCAACAAAGGTCCCATAGATATAACTGCTCAGTATTTTAGAATACGCTTCCATGCTGGCTAGATGGCTTGTACAAAAAGTGTACATATTGTACAAAAATATGATACATTTTGCATCTATGAATTTCATTCAAACCCCTTCTCCGGGTCAAACTACTACATGATGTTTCTAATTGATCTTTAAATGAGGCCTCATCTGGCACGTATTGTGCACAGAGAGTGGATTGGCGTTATTTCACTCCACAGCTGTCAGATTATTCATGAGGTGCATGTAGTCTCAGTTTAAAGAGAAATCCTCGTAAAAAGAAGTCAATGGTCACTGCTACTTTTAGGATTGAATTCATGGCCCATTGGCCCTTCATAGTTAAGAGAGGGGAAGTCTTAAATTATACGGCCATTATGCAGTCATTATGACCGTGCTGGGATTTACAATTGATTGTGCGGAAGCGCTGTTCCATACAAAAATAAGTAGCATGCGTTGTGTCCTAAGCGAATTATTATAGCATGATGCTCTCTGTGTCAAGGAGCACCCACCATGCACTTTCTTATTTGTATATTATAATGGTCAAATCTATAAATATTATGTAAAAGAATTATTGGTAAAATATGAAAAAGAAATTGATATATTAAATTGTATCAGTCATATTATTGGTTCTTTCGGTAATAATCACTGGAAGGATTTGATAAACCATTTCGGGTCTTAATTGATTGATCACGCTTAAGGTGGCTTTCAGACTGCATCCATTATTTTTCGTCTCCCCCCTCCTCTTTTCCGAACGTAGATAGACTCGTCCATCTGAACAAACTGTCAAATCGCTCTCCGTGGTGCTAACGTTAAAAATAACCGCCACTTTTTTCAAATTTTGTTGTTGTGGTTTTCACACCTGATGATGATTGCTTGTGTGGCAGTCGAAACGTCGTGAAAATTGTATTGTTTTATATTTTATGATTTATTGTTTCCCTTCTACGTGGCTTTACCGAAAGAACCAATAATGTGAATCCCTGCAGTCACGAAAGCTTTCAATCAAAATATATCAGTCATGTTGAGTTCAATAAGTAACTATAGTTATAATGGAGCTAATTACAGCTAATCAAATGAATATGTTGTATAATACTAATATTGAAACAATTTCTCAAACAAAAAAGAGAAAACTAACACAGACAATGCAAAGTGCATTTACAATGCTGAGCGAACATTTTCTTTGGTTCTCGTCCCTTCACCTGATGAAGGCCGCTTGTGTTGTGGCCGAACGTCGTGAGAATTTTATTGTGTTATTTTATTTTATCAATTTATTATTTTATTCTCATTCTACGTGACTTCACCGAAAGAACCAAAGAAGATGAATCCTTGCAGTCACGAAAGCTTTACATCGAAATTTGAGCGAACATTTTCCATGTTCTTGTCTGCAGGGCGACTGTGTGTGAAATTATTTTTCGTGTTATTTTTAATATGTTCTGCCATTTAACAATTACATAGTGGTGTTGCTTCATCACAAATGTAATGCAGCATGGAATTAACGACGAAATGTTGTGCGAAAAGATGATTAGTCTGTCCAAACAAATTCAAGACCCAAAGTTCAGTTAATATATTGTTTTCTGTAAACGACATTTTTCGTCATTGTATTTTGCTGTAATTAGCTTCTATAAAGTGCTCTTGATGTTATTGTTACCCTTTAGTTACACTGAAACACGGTGCACGATGAGGACACAAAATAGAAAATTTTCACAATTTGCTGAGAAATGTTCTAATGCGTATAAAAGGTTCAGTCCTTCCATTCATTTATTGCCCTTGAGAAACACCTATAGAATTGTTTCATTGAATATATTATTTCATTTGCGACTTCAATCCACTTACAAATATGGCCGTGGCACTGTTTTCAACAGAAAAATAAAGGTGCTGTTCAGGTTGCTCAGAGGCCAGAGATCACGTGTAACGAGCTTATGGTCTCAGCCCGGTTCCCGATGACTGCACAAAAACACCTTCAAATCAAACTTGGTTTTGCATTTTCTTCGATAGAATTCCAGCTCTATGAATTTATTTGAAGAACACACGTGGGAACGCCCCCTATTATGTAAATTATAAATATATAGTACCACTCAAACAAATAGATGTTTTGTATGGGTAGCCAATGGCATTTACCATCTCAAAAGGTTTCCATTTAGAAAAAGCATTTGTGACTCATAGGCGATTATGGTCGCTTTGGGTTGCATTCCAAATGTCTTGTCAGCAATCACTGTAAATGTCGCAATTTCACTTGCTTGTTGGGTGTGCGCATACGTTCTGTGCTCAAGCCCTGTCATTCTGCTAAGACCAATTCTATTTACATTCGCCTTCACCTCAGCCCATTCACATCACTTGCTGCGAGTCTATACATCATACAAACTATGTATGTGGTACGTAACATGAACAACATTATCAGCCGACATTTACAGATTTATTCATGTTTATTTTGTGTATTTGCATATTTCTTTTGCAGATGAACGTCAGAATGTTTTCGATCTGAATCCTACACAGGAAGTGTGTCTGTTTACGTTCATGCTGCTGTGGAACTTTAATAATAATAATAAAAAAAGTGAAATTGTATTGATCTCATTTGTTGAGATATATGCTCTCATACACTCGAGCACCCAAAATTATCTGAGCTGAATAACAATGAAAGTGCCTGTGAGACCAAAGTACCTGACCGTCCAATAGTCTTTGCAAAATAAAAAAATGCAAGTCATTGTTGCAAGATAATCCTTCTAATTAAGTTGCAGTCATATCTTGACGATTTTTTTTTTACAGCGGACTGAGCCAATATTCCCAACTAATGCTTATTGCTTTTCGTGAAAATAATCTCAATTGCAGGCAAGGTTATTTTGTGTATTTCAAATATTTCGTTTCATTTGCAATCGCTAGGACAAGATAAATACGCATTTTGCAATGGAAAGCTGGGGTACAAATAGAATGACGTAAATGTAACGTACAAAACAAAATTCATAACTAAAAATAAAAGTGATTCACTTCTTAACACAAACACATATATTAATTTAAGACCTACAAATAGTCATTTTTGTTAAGGTTAGAAAGTGACTAATTCACCGAATTCTCGATCTGTGTTTTTGTGTGTGTAGAAAGCTTTTTAAATCAAATTCAGTTACAGCCCTAATGCCTCATGGAATAAGGGTTATCGTGACCTGATTCAAAAGATGGAATCTCTTATTTGATCTTTATAAGACAAAAACACGGTGAAGGCTTGCTGACATGACATGCTCTACTGTTATTACGTATATATTATTTTCCGACAATTCTATCCCAATTATGTGATTGGGATCATGTAATGAGACGAAGTACCCATTGACATCACTCGCAGAGCAACGCAACCCTTGGTAATGCGGAATCGCCCACCTCTAGTTACTCTTCAAATGACTTCTGGTCCACACAGAGTACACGGCAGCACTTCTCACTCCCTCTCAGAGCTGCAATTTAGGAAAATTATTTGTGCGCTGAACCAAATTTGTGGGTGTGTTTTTTTTTGTGTGTGCAAACTCGTCATTGCCCAGGCAGAGGCCATACACTCACGGGGGAGGCTTAGGCAGAAAAATACAAGCGGAGCACAAGGTGCATGTGTGCGATAGTGACACACATGACAGATGTTCAAATTGTTTCCTTCAATTATGAGTGTTGCAGTTTATCTGCATTTTTACATCCAGGAGTATTGGGGCCATATTTTACATGTTTTTTTCATTCATGCTGTGGAGCAAGGCCCTAACATCCCAGCAGGGGCTACCATGATGTATAAGGGGGACAATCACGACAGCTTCCCTCAAGCATGGCAGTATTTAAGAGCACGAAAGGTAGGTTTAGGAGTCCAACAGCCTGACGTATGATCCAGCAATCACTGATTCACTCCAGTCACTTGCCGGCGGTCAGTCGCCTCTTCCATACTGTAGCTTCCACCGTGGATTATGTTCCATAGAACTTCACTCCTTAATTCCTCCACCCAAATCACTATCAGAATTTGTATTTATACTGGAGGAATCCGATGAGCTATATAGCTCTTTTTCACAGATGTTCAGTAGGGGCAGGTCATATTGGGGATTAATGTGTTATACTTTAATGTCTTCTGTTTGTGGCCACTTGTCGCTATGGACTTTTGGGCCTGTGCTCGGCAACCGTGAGTTTAAGAAGTAAAGCAGCATTTCCTTGGTGGAGGAAACTTTCTACAACTACTTTGAGCAATATCACTCGTACGTAATGAATAGATAAGGCTATAAAGCGAATATATAACCCCAATACAGGGTCCTAATGGAGTCTAGAATGGCCACGCATGATGTGCACTGACACCGAAGCGCAGCATTGCCCTTCATCATCATTATAATTGTTGTCATCATCATGCATCTTTATTTACTGGTCCTACATTCTGCTACTAGCCAATGTTATCCATCTGACAGGCAGCGATGATGAAATCCATTGATCTACAATGCAATTAACGTAATGTGTGCTCGCAGCCGATAATAATGGCAGTACATCATTATCACCCCATGGATCACGATACCACATGAAAAATAATTGTTCATAAAAAATGTTCAGATTAGTGTCAGAAGGGTTAAGATGTGCAGTTGTGTGCATAATAATGTAGAAACTTTATCATGACTTGTTCCTTATCAAAATATGTCTGTTGGCTCAAGAGAACATTATTTGCTCATGCCACCGCTGGCAGAAGTGCCTTCACTCGAGAGAGCTCTAGAAGGTATTTTGCCTTCTCTTATATGCTGATCAGACGTCTTGGAAGAGGTGGGAACATGCATTTATACTGCTGGGTGGATAGAGGCAGGGAGATTTAAGAAATGTGCTCCATTGTTGCAATTGCCTTGCAGGGAAATTGGTGACCTCTAGATTGCAAGTCCAGTGTACGAACAATTGCACTATGGCAGCTATGGATTCTTAGGCAGAGATTAAAATATATCAGGACTATAGGTCGCATTTACTCTCCATACTTCCATAATTAATTTGGCAGGGAATGTATGTACGTATGTGGAACTACTTTTCTGACCGTACATATCCAACCGTGCCAAACGGAATGTAGATTACAAACAACTGCAGTACAATAATAGGGGTTTCCCCTTTTTTATGGCAACAAAATTGAAACCTTTTTTACAAGGATTCATGTCTGCATTAACCACAATACCTGCAGTCAAAATGCAAACAAAAAACATACTATGATATATGCACGCCAAAAGGCGTCATCTGGTCGAGCAGTACCACACAAACGCCTCCTTTTACCAAAGCAGCCACAACATCTGTGATACCGATGTTTCACCTATGTGTCACATTAATTTGTAGCCAAACCAACCATAAATGACCAATACCAGACAAATAAACATAAACAATGAATGTTTTATACATCTGCTTTCATTATTTTTAATCTTTATTGGCATAATTTAAGAAGTTAAACAATCCCTGGGTTAAAATGCGATATTGGGGTCGAGTTATTGTCATTACACATGGGACACTGATCGTAGCCTGCACATATAATAAATAGTTAACCTCCTATAACACGATGTTCTGAATGCTCCTCTGAAGCCATATTTCTCTTGAGGTTTATTAGTTGTAGAATTTATATCTTTTTTGCCAGATAGGGCGGAAGTAGAGTAGTCAACGTGCTGCGCTATGAATCAGGTGACCCGAGTTTGATTCCTGGCTATGGCTAACATCAGTGGCACGTGATATGGGAGCCAGTCCTGCTCTCTTTCCTCTCCGGTCCTTTCACCAACCGGCACTGACCAGCAAAGTGAAGTGTGGTAAAAAAAAACCATAACCGATATGGCATGGGGAGGCGTTTGTCCATTGATGAGTTGAGAATTGCTAGACTGTATTTCTATTGTTTAATATTTGTTGTCAAATCATGTGAACTATATTGGTCAAGTTCAGGTTTGAAGAATGCTGATATGCTTTCAATTGTGGCACAATATGACAGGAATCGCCTTTAAAATTACACACAACATAGGTTACAAACCCTATTTGAGAATTATCTACGTAAGTAATTTTCATATTTAATATTGATAATCGAATCATCTATATAGCTGATAAAAAAAATTCCATTTAGTATATCCGTATAAAAATAATTACATAGTTTTGCCTGAAATGTTATTCAAATTAATTAACTCAAACATAATTATCCATTGATATTAGCAATATGTTGCGAGCATGGTTTTAAAATATAACTTGATTATAACAGTGAATACATTTTCAACAATATTAAACATTAAAACAGCGCGCTCCTATGCATAGGTATTCAAGACGCATGAGTGAATAAGATTAGTAAAATCACGAAAGTGAAGAGGGCTTTTATCTGTTTTAAAAGGGCACTATTTCTTTAACCATATAATAATCATCATCATCATCCTTGCGGGTTCACTGAATTTAGAATTACGTCCGAGATCTAACACACTTTGTGTTGTTGCAACTAATCTATAATAGCATCTGAGACGCCAACATGCATCCCCCACCCCTTGTGAACAACGGTTTTACGAAATTAATCGTGTTCACGAAAAGATACTCATTAACAGGAAAAATGGTTTGCTGAAATGTACAAGAATTAACTTAATTGATGGAATTAATACACAGTTGTAATGGTATAATTCGATGGTTTACAGTCAATCGCGGCTGTTGTTCATTGCTGTGGCAATGTCTGAACTGCGCAGTGCTGGAGAAGGTGGTCGTCATTGTGCTGCCAGTCAGCCTGGTCCTCATGGTGTTTGGAGGGATTTTCGTTCTCATCAGCGCGCTCCTCAATCACTACTACATGATCTGCTTTGCTGGGATTTACTTTATCTTCGGAGGTAAGCGCCATGACGGAACACACCTTCGGGAGGTCATTCCCTCCACTGCATTGTGCCACCCACACATTGAACAAACACTATAGTACAGCTCCTTCTGCCAGATATCTCAGAAGCCCTGCGGCAGGATGGGTCCATCATCTTGCACACACAGGTTGCAGTCGTCACGAGGCCCGTGGAACCACGTGAAGGCTAGCGGAGGGTCATGCAGAAAAATACATTGATGCTCCCCAGTATGTTCCACGCCAGGGCTGGATTAAGTTTATTGTGAGCCTGGTGCCGTCATAGCTTTGGGGCACCTCTTTGTATATGTGTAGTGAGTTCAACTGAGTCGCAGACGTATACTTGGAGGCAACACATTTATTTAACTCCAATACACGGCGTAACTTCCCCTTAACATGATAACAACCAATGGTGGTGAACACCAGGCTAACTAAACTAGTTACCACGTGACTGGTGTAGTTAGCTAGGTGGTGACCACCAGGCTAACTACACTGGTTTCCACGTGACTGGTGTAGTTAGCAAGGTGGTGACCACCAGGCTAACTACACCAGTTACTACGTGACTGGTGTAGTTAGCTAGGTGGTGACCACCAGGCTAACTACACTAGTTACAACGTGACTGGTGTAGTTAGCTAGGTGGTGACCACCAGGCTAACTACACTAGTTACAACGTGAATGGTGTAGTTAGCTAGGTGGTGACCACCAGGCTAACTACACTAGTTACAACGTGACTGGTGTAGTTAGCTAGGTGGTGACCACCAGGCTAACTACACTAGTTACAACGTGACTGGTGTAGTTAGCTAGGTGGTGACCACCAGGCTAACTACACTAGTTACTACGTGACTGGTGTAGTTAGCTAGGTGATGACCACCTAGCTAACTACACTAGTTACTACGTGACTGGTGTAGTTAGCTAGGTGGTGACCACCTAGCTAACTACACTAGTTACTACGTGACTGGTGTAGTTAGCTAGGTGGTGACCACCAGGCTAACTACACTAGTTACTACGTGACTGGTGTAGTTAGCTAGGTGGTGACCACCAGGCTAACTACACTAATTACAACGTAACTGGTGTAGTTAGCCTGGTGGTGACCACCAGGCTAACTACACCAGTTACGTTGTAATTGGTGACCACCAGGCTAACTACACTAATTACAACGTAACTAGCTACGACGGACAGGGACCACAGCTCGGTTCCAGGTCCACGTGTTGGAGACTCGGAGAACGTTGAACGTAGACGAAGGTTTCCTCATATTTAACAACGCTGGCCCCTCCTGGGACCCGGCTTATATTCTCTGCGGCGTGGCTGGCTCCGCCCTTGGCCACGCCCACCTTCCAGAATCCTCAAGCAGGATCTGGACCCTGACCACGTGACCACCCCTAGCCCCCACTTTGGGCCCCTTTGTAGACTTAACCGGTCACGTGTCCTCTCGGGTCAACCAGAGTACCATGGCCTTTAGTAACCCCATTTCCTACGGCCGGCACTCCCACACTCTGTCCTGTATGGTTGGCACTGCACGCCAAGCGTGGTGGCATCCAGCGCTATCCATCAGTGCTCACCGGGCCCCTCTAGGGCCGGTACTACACCCACATCCAAGTGGTGTCCGCGATGTCGTTACACCGCACGCCGTGCCTCTCTAGGGCCGGCACTACACAGTGACATCCCACGATGTCACTACACATGGATTGCATTCCTTCCTCTACCACCACCCATGTGTTCCAAGACAAGTACTCCGTTGTTATTCACCAACGGTCATTTCAAGTTTGGTGTTCAAATTATGATATATACACTTTTAACATCTGCATAACAGTTTCAACAAACTTTATAATAACGCACATAGTTGATGATATGGCTTTAATCAAATGACCTATGGTATTTATCATAGCGCTACAGTATTGTGTTGTGTAAGGAACAATGTATAGGTGTGTGTGTGTATATATATTGGGGGGGGGGGGGGCTCAAAATCAGAGCCCCCGGGCTACAACATTAATCCCAACCAATGTCAATGCAATTTCAATTTGTATTGCATATTAAAGCAACCACGTGTCAAGTTGCACGTTCCCTAAGACACGATGAATGGCATTCTATATTCTATTAAGACCAGAGCTTGTATGCAGAAGATGGTTGTTAATGAGCCCCCCCCCCCCCCCCTGATCCTATCACATTCAACGTAATTATTTCAACCGCGTCCTTACATTACAAAGGCAGACGACAGCGAGCTCCACAAGATAATCCCCGTTTAATGTTGCACTTTCTAAGCTCGTATCGAACCAAACTGCCAAACGCACCATTTATCCTTTCATGGAATAACGGCACATTGTACGGATGCTGCACTCAGATGTGCACGCGGGCGGTTAATCGATCACGGTGGACATTAGATGGTTGGATATATTGTTGCCACCAGTGCCGGATTACCCTAGTACCAAAAGTAGCGACATATGCTACGGGCCCCGCACGTTCAAGGGCCCCGTGATAAACGCTTTCAAGCGATCAGTTCCGGTTCAGTGATACTATAGTACTATACCGCCTTCAACTTTTATGAACGACTGGGTGTTTAAGGTTAGCGATTTGTCGTATTATCTGGCTGTACAGAAATTTAAAAAAAATACAATTATTTTACTATGCAAGTAAAAACAATGTGTGTTTTAATATTTACGTGTTTGTTTTTTTTGTTTTGTTTAATTTAGGGCCACCTTTATAACGTACGCTACGGGCCCCACACGAGCTTCATCCGGTACTGGTGGCCACGCTGTGTGTCTCACCCACAGCCTCCGTCACGCTGGTGGGAGTGAGCGTGTACTGCGCCTACTCGCAGCTCGTCGCTCACACGGCGCAGCTCATCAGCCCCGAGGTGCTGCATGGCATCAGCATCGCATTCGGCTGGTCCTTCCACCTGGCGTGGCTCTCTTGCGCCCTCGAGGCCCTCGCCGGGAGCCTCTTCCTGCTCTCCACCTGTGCCACGGCCGGGGCCCAAGACGCGCCTCGCCGTCCGGTGATCTTCTTTCACAAATAACGCACACAAAACGTACTAGGGCAAGTTTTCATTTAATTTTTTTTTCATTCATTAGGTATTGCCCTGTGAGCCATGCGGCTCTTAAGTCGGGTGCCACCGCAACAAATAAAATGTGAACAAAGACCGCCCTTCTCCCCGTGTAGCCTAAACAATACTGTTGGGGCAAGTGCCGTTAGCGAGTATCTATGAAGGCCGGCACGGTATACGCCCGACCGCCTTTGTCTCCTCCCAGGGGCGATGTTTACACACCACCGCACCAGATACTCTATTGAGGCTGAGTCGACCTAGGGGAGGCCCAGGACCGGTTCAGATAATCGTCACTGGTGTTGGCCGTGAGCGGGAATCGAACTCGGGTCGCAGCATGCGTACCTCTCCCCACTAACACATATAACTCGCACGCAAACAACTCAACACATTCGTCAATAGCACCACCTTAAAACCGAACCTCCGATAGTTGCTCTTCATTGGCCATACGAAATCAGAAGCAGAACATATATTGTTTTATACTGGAGGAATCCGATGAGCTATAAAGCTCTTTTTCACAAATGTCATTGCCTTAAAAGGAAGAAATATAGAATAAGTGACATTTCGAGCAATGGGCATTCTTAGAACAGTGGCCAAAAGGTTACCTGTTCATTGATCCTCATGGCGGTATCCCGGGGTACTAAATGACACAAAATGTCCGAGGCAATTAAATATTTGATTTCTGGGACACAATTTTTTCCAGGGGTGTTCCTTCACTCCGCCACAGGGGTAGCAATCAATCCGAAATCGGTGCCACCACTCCGCGATGTCGAAACGCAGTGAGGACGATTGCGCCGAAACCCTGAACGCTCGCGACACGCACCATGGCGGTGGTGCATCGTGAGTACAGCTCGTCGAGATGAGTCGATTGCCGCATCGCCCGACCATCAACAGACTAAAAATGATTGCATCACGGACATTATGCGAGAGCCGGGGTACCATAAGGTCCATTTGTATATTTCCCTTTTAAGGCAGTGATGATGATCTACTTTCCTTTGGACAATGAAGAGCAACTATTGGATATTCATCCTGTGGCAGTGTTATTGGCGAACGTGTTAGGTTACGTTCGGATTTGTGCATCACTGTCAACACATCAACACCAAATCGTTTGGTCTTTCATATTGTGGTGTTGCAGAGATAAGCAGCTGATTTTCGGAACGGCAACGCACTTCTTTTTTACGAATTGATGTCTCATTTCTTTGGGGCAGTGGCCGCTCGTTGCAGAGGTTCACAGTTCAAATCCGGCAGGCCGCCCTCGTTAATACTGCGAGTGTATTCTACGTTAAATGTGCGCCGTCCGCTTTACGGTGGTTGTTAAAATCCCGTGATGCCATTCGAAAATGATTCGGCCATTGTCTGCCCGCGTCATGGTCCAAAATATTATCAATTTTAAATTGGATGCAAGTTACTCAATTGGGATTACACATAACATCGCCCCACCCTCTTTATTGTGAAACTACTCCAAACTATGTCTGTGAAACATAGAACCTTCTTTCGTGATAGCCTTGCACTATAAGAATGGTGCATATACTAAATGTACTCGTTTATTCCATTGATATCTAGCTTCATGATGAATTGATCAATTCAATCTTGACTTAAAGCTTTCGTGACTGCAGGAATTCATATTTTCGTCACGTAGATAGGTTCAAAGAAAATAACAAAAAATAACAAAAAACGACGACGTTTCGATCGCAACTCAAGTGTTCGCTGATTAATTATTCTGATGCCGCCCTTCAGTGGTACTTTTATACATTTTCTGTTTTATATATTTTTTCCTTTTCCGGTAGTATTATATATTTTTTCTTCGTAAGGTAGGGTTGTCGATAAATGTGTGGAGATGACCAGGTAGTTGACGATGTGCTTCAGTGCTTTACACGTGCTCACATTGTTCATATGGTTTACACCTCCGAGGTACAAACAACGGGCTACATGACGGGAAGTACATCTCACAATACCGACAGAAGGGAGAACGTGTAAGACTACATGTCTTGAGCGGTGTATTATTATGCAAATGACAGACTGGTACCTTTTTGATGTTCTGAGAAGACAAATCAACAAAAAGCTCTATTTTACCAGCCAGATATTACTATATGCCACAACACAAAGATAACGTTTTAAAGCCGCGGTAATAGATCCGTTGTTTTTATTCCAACGGAGACGCATGAAACCGAACACGTGCCGCTCGGCTGTCCATTGAGAATTTGGGTTCGGAGGCAAAGGTGCGGAACAACGCGAGCGCTGTGGCTGGAGCGAGACGCAGGTGGACATTAGCTGCCCTAGTCGTAGAAGTGTCCTCGCTCCTCTTTGCAGCGACCTCGAAGCGAACACGAGTAAAGCGACGTCTGCCTTGAACTCCGCTCTGTACGCATCACGTGTCCATACAAAGCAGTGAAGCGAAAACATTCCTCTCCAAAGACCCGGTATTTTGTCGGCATGCGTCACGCATTCCGTGTTACACGCGTGCATGTTTTCTCACGCTTGTTTAATCTAATGACCCGTTTACCCCCCTCCCCCTCCTCCCCCCGCCTCCTAATGGGTGCTGTTTGAATGCCACGGCTAATTTATGTAGCACGCATGACCTTTTTGGCAAAATGCTTGCTTAAATTGCAATTGTGTGTGGGGGGATTGGCCAGTTGCTTTTGTAATTAGCGACGAGGTGCTCAGTGTTAGCCGAGGGCATGCTTTAATAGCCTGCCTATCTTACGTGCGCATACATGGGATCTGTGCTTTTACTACCATCACCATCATAGAAACGATACATTTAACGTGTGGAACTGTATTTGCATAAACATGCATATCCACTTGTATATGCACCAGGGTTAATACACGTGCACAGGAGATGAACATGTGCTCATTTGGGTTGGGTGGTGCAGTGGTTTTCGTGCTGCACTGTTAACCTGGTGACCCGAGTTCGATAATCCTGCTTAAGCTCACGTCAGTGGTGAGGGAGAGCACACTGCCCCCCCCCCCCACCACACTGGTCCTGCCCCCCCCCCCCACACTGGTCCTGCCCCCCCTCACACACACTGGTCCTGCCCCCCCCCCACACCACACTGGTCCTGCCCCCCCCCCACACTTGTCCTGCCCCTCCCATTCATGAAATCATTCACCAGCATGCTTCGTATGGTCTAAGAATCCGCATGACCGACATGGCATAGAGAGGGCTTCATTCAGCAGCGTGTTGAAAAAAAAGGGCTGTAATGTATTTTATGCATACAGCAATCCATCGCCAACCGTGGAACTCATGTCCACCCGGTTTATTATCTGTGTAGTAGTCACTTCAGAGACACTAATATTAGGAGGCACACGTTTAATCTACACTTCCACAGTACAGGGTATAACTACACACGGGTCAGGACAGCCGGCACTCTGCCTGACCCACAACGCCGAGGAGGTGAAGACGGGGACGAAGACTTGCGTAGACGACGGGTTCCATTCCAAACGACAGCCCCGACCCAGCGTCGGGACCTCCCTTTTATCCTCCCCAGCGTGGCCTGGCTCCGCCCTCGGCCACGCCTCCTTCTGGAACCTACCAGAAGGTTCTGGGATTCGCCCCACGTGTCCCCTCTGTCACCTTTACCCTACATCCCTTACCCCGGCCCATCACGTGCCCTGCTGGCAGACCGGCTGCTGTGTCCTCAAATCTCCCCTCTCTGCCAGCAACCGGCGCTACGTGCTCTAGTGACCCATTCTATGTCACGACATCTGTACGGCAATCCCTTGCCAACCTCGGGGGTAAAGTTCCTGGAAAATACCATGGTCGGCAAATCCGCGATTGGTAAAGTACAGGCCCTATGGAAAATAGGGGGTTAGGGGAACCACAGCTGCGGTCAGACTTCACTAAAAACTCATACAATATATTACATAACACAACATAAATAAATAAACAGTACACTAACTTTCCATACCTTAATATTCAGGGTAGAAGTTCACGATGATGACGATGATATTATGGGGGAAAGGGTGGTTAGAAGGAGGAGGGGCTCAGCCCAGCCTCCCCCTCTTCCTCCGGGTCATCATGAGTGGACAGGCAAGGAGGCAAAACTTTTCTTATTTCATGGCCAGACATCTAGACCTCGACATGGAATCGAGAATTATCGTGACCATTGCTGAATTTAGGGCCACCTGTTGAAAGTTAACTTTGGATGCAAAGCTCATGAGGCACTTTTTAAAGGAACTTTTTGTAGTTAAATTTAATTTGTTGATGAAACATTATGGTTTGTTGTTGACAAATCAACAAACTATAATGTATGGGAGCTTATTTTTTTAATGTATATATCAATGTTACTATAGTTCACAGTATTTGACCAGTAATATATGAAGACCACAGAGTGATGTATTGTTTATTTAATATAAATACTATATCTCAGAAATTAGTTTGTTTTAAACGTGATTTACTATCAGTATTAATTTAAAAAAATCTCCACTGTAAGAATATACATTGCAGTTCAACTAATTAAATTATATGCACCACAATAATGTTATGTTTCAGAGTTTTCTGGATTTTACACAAATGCAACTAGTTACATCTTCTGAAAATACAGATGTGGTTTTGGGGGTAGAAGTGGGGGGCACAAGTGCATGTGGATTTCATTTTAAATATAGCAACAGAACCGAACCTATGATCCTCATTTGTCAGGCAGCTATGAGCTATCTGACAGATTTTCTGCACGGGAGTGACATTGTCAATTCGCTTTGAATGCCCTTGCCTTTGTCCTTGAAACATTCCTGGGAATACGAAATATATACAAACCATCTTCTTTGGTTCTTTCGGTAAAGTCACGTAGAATGAGAATAAAATTATAAATTAATAAAATAAAATAACCCAATAAATAAAATTCTCACGACGTTTCAGCCACAACACAAGTGGCCTTCATCAGGTGAAGGGACGAGACTGTCTGAAGTATGGCGTGGGACGTTTCTTTAATCTACGTTTTATCTGGAAACCAGCTAAT